AGTAAGTGCTTCTTGAAAGAAGACTGGGCCATCTACTTCCGTAATGATACTGCCTTGGAAATCCAAGAAAGGGTTGCTATGAATCAGATACGACTCGATGGTAGTGAGTTTGGTTTCTGTTGTAGTAAGTGCTAGCATAGGGCAGATTTTTGATAAATATTTTTGAATTTGTGAATGAACAAAAGGTGATTCTGATTCCCTGAGGGATTGTAATATGATCCAACCCTGTCTCATTCTGTTTCACCTTCCTCCATATGTTCTCTTTGCCCTAGTTAATTCCAAGCTCTCTTCATTTTCTGAATATTCCAGAGTTTTTTTTTTTTTTTTTTTCTACAGCTTTGTGCTTTGTCTCATGTTTTCACTGCTCGAGATGTCCTTCTCTGGTTACCTATTTAGGAAATTCTTTTATCTAAACACTTGGTTTATTAGCATCTTATCAAGGGAGTTTTCTTTAGATATTTCTTCTCTGAAGATGGCTTTCCTAAAACTCACCACATGTGCTAGGAAATAGCTTACATGTCTGATTGCCCTGTAGATGAAAAGCTCCTCAAAGTGAGGGACCAAGATCATTTGAGTTTGTACCTTCATCCTTTAGCCCACTGCTTGGCACATGCTATTTGTTCAAGACATATTTTTTGAATGAAGGAAGAGCTTGATGAACAAAAGGGGGAAAGCAGAATGGTACACTAGGCAGAACCAAGGGCACCTAGACACAGAGCTAATTGGTTATATGATCTTGAACAAGTTACTTTCATTCTTTAAACATTTGCACCCTCATCATACCTAACTTCAATAATTTTAACACTTAAATGAAATATAGGTAAAACATTTAGTATATTTTCTTAGACATAAGAAACATTCACTCAATGTTAGACCCCAGCCCTGCCGGGTCTGGTCCTATATTCCTATTTATGTCTGGAGGTGAGAAGCCATGAGAATGATGTGTTAGGTAGTCTCTTGCTGGGTGGAATAATATGATTTTTATTCTTTCCTTATTCTGAGGCCCTCTGCAAGCCACATATAGAAAATTGGGTTATGTTTTCTATAAGCAGTATGGATAAAAACTTCTTAATGCAAAGCAGAAAGGGAAACCAACAGAAATACATTTGAGTGAGGAACAAACCTGTGTAAAATTATTGATTGCCATGGCCTAACTCAAAGGTCTGGCCACTGTGCAGTTCTCCACTGTTGTTGTTAGGTGTCATCAAGTTGTCTCTGACTCACAGTGACCCTATGCACAGCAGAATGAAACATTGCCCCGTCTATATTGAGCCCATTGCAGGCAGCTGCCACTGTGTCAATCCATCTCGTTGAGGGCCTTCCCCTCTTTCATCAACCCTCTACCTTACCAAGCATGATATCCTTTTCCAGGGAATGGTCCCTTCTGATAATACAACTAAAGTAGGTGAGACAAAGTCTGGCCATTCTCGCTTCCAAGGAGCATTTGATTGTACTTCCTCCCATCCGTTAGTTCTTTTAGCAGTCCATGGTACTTTCAGCATTCTTCACCAGCACCACAACCCAAAAGCGTCAACTTTTCTTTGGTCTTCCTTATTCATTGTCCAGCTCTCACATGCATATGAGGTGATTGAAAATACCATGGCTTTGGTCAGGTGCACCTTAGTCTTCAAGGAGACATCTTTGCTCTTCAGCACTTGAAAGAGGTCCTTTGCTACTGATTTGCCCAGTGCTATATGTCATCTGATGTCCTGACTGCTGCTTCCATTGGTACTAATTGTAGTAGAACCAAGCAATGTGAAGTGTTTAACAACGTCAGTCTTTTCTCCATTTATCGTCCAGTTGTGAGAATTTTTGTTTTCTTTATATTGAGATGTAATCCATACTGCAGACTGTATTCTTCAATCTTCATCAGTAAGTGCTTCAAGTCATCTTAATTTTCAGCAAGCAACATTGTGTTGTCAGCATGTCACAAGCTGTTAATAATTCGTCCTCCAATTCTGATGCCATGTTCTTCTTCATATAGTCCAGCTCAGTTCTCCGCAGTAGTTAAGAAAAGAGCTAAAACATTGGTCTAGTCTTTCTCATACCCATAAACCATGATCAGAACAGGCTGCAAAGGTCATAAACGTCTATTTCCTTTAACCTGTTTTAAGGGAATTTCTGCCTTGTGATAGGCATCTTGAAGAACATTCAGGTAGGTAGATATATGATGTATTTTTGTAATATCCCCAGCAGGCTGAAGAACTCCCTCAGATCATTATATGTGAAAATCTGTCATCATATTGAGGTGGGGTAATGCATTACTATGGTATCTACATATATTTCGGTAAATTTGTTAAGCAGTTACCAACTCCAAAAGTTAAAATGCTCCCCTCATCCACCCCATGACAAGAGGGATCCAGTTTAATGAACATTAATATCATAAAACTATCTGAGAAGTAGAGTTTGTGGGTGGTGCAAAGGTTAACATGCTTGGCTCTTAACCGAGAGACTGGCAGTTTGAGACCACACAGAGGGACCTTGGAATAAAGGTCTGGTGATCTATCTACTTCTGAAAAAATCAGTTATTGAAAACGCCGTGGAGCACAGTTCTACTTGGACACACATGGAGTCACCATGAATCACATTCAATTCAATGGCAAGTGATTTGATGTGATATGTAAGGAGTAATATTAGGAATCAAGAATGTTTCCCATAATGAAGATGGCACCTTCAAGGTAGACACATTGTTATTTTTCATTTGTCTCTGCCCATAGGCCATTGTAAGGAACCTTGGCCTATAGCCAGTGAAGGATGCGTTTGAGCAGACTAGAATCAAATTCAGTTGGGAAAGTTGGTTAAGAGGAACAAGAATTGAAAATTTTGAATAATTACACTATTATAACCCTTCTTAGATTTGAACTAGCATTATATATACATTTGAACGGAGTTTACTGTAAAACTAACCAAAAGTCATTCCCTCAAAATTTAAATGGTGGGCATGTGTATTAGTTTCCTAGGGCTGCCATATCAAACTACCAAAAACTGGGTGGCTTAATCAAATTTACAACAAATATTTATTTGCTCACAATTTTAGAGGCTAGAAATCTGAAATCAATTTTTTTTTTTTTTTTTGGGAGGCTTTGTTTTACTCTCTTAGCTTCTGGTAGTTACCAGCAATCTTTGGAGTTCTTTGATCTGTAGACTCATCACTCAGTCTTTGACGCTGTTGTCAAATAGGATTCTCTCATGTATGTCTCTGTGTCCTCATTGTCTTCTTATAAGGATATCAGTCATTGGATTAGGGCCCACTCTAATCCAGTGTGACCTCATTTTAACATGATTACATCTGCAAAGACCTTATTTGCGAAGAAGGTCACATACACAGTTCCCAAGTCAACGTGAATTTCGGGGAAACTATTGAACCTATTATTGCAAGAAAATGTATTTGCAAAAGAGGCAACAAAAGACAATGCTATTTAAAATGCTTTATAAAACTTTATTTGATATTATTCAATCATACAGATTTTGTGATAAATGTGCATTTCTAAAAGGGCATAATCAAATATTTTTCTAGATTTTACATATATCATAGAAATAAGCTGTAGTATATTGCTTAAAAATTTGCTACCTATAGATTCATATAAAATCATTCCATAAAGAAGAGAGAAATGAACTTGTATGATGCTATTCACTGATTATGAAAAATAAAGAAATATAAAAATATTATTTGGCAATTACAGAAAATCTATATTTCTTTTTTATTTCATTAAGTTTGAAATTAAACATAAACAATAAACTAAAGAGTAGCCAAATTGGTTTTGCATATCTAAGATACATTGCCGATACTGTATTTTTCATTCTTGAATAATTCAGCACATGACCCACTGTATAATTTGGGTTTTGTTCAAACATTAATTGCTGTAATCATGAAGGTTACTATTAAAAGCACACAGAGCAGATCTGTGCACAGAAGAAAAGTGGAATTAACCAGAGCTACATCCTAACATCTTATTTTGTTAGGAACACAGTTTAAATATTTAAAGAAGAATGTCATGTTGATTCATTGGTGACGAATTGGACACCTGTCTCAGGCATCAGTGGTGAATGGCACAGAGCGGTATGAATGGTTAGTAAATACTCTTGTTTTAAGTATCTAATAAAAAAAAAAAGAAAGAAAGAAAAAGCTATTTCAGCTAAAGATCCCTAATAAAGTGTTACAAACCCTTTTTTAGGCTTTCTTTTTCTGCCATACTAAATAATGATTTGGTTTTCCTCATTTGTGCTTCATGGAGCTTTGTTTGTGCTTTTAGAAACAGTGTTCAAACTAAATGTAATTTTTAATTATAAAATACTTCCTGGGAAACATTTTCCTGTATGTTAAACTGTACTTTGTTCCAAAATACATCATTTTCCTTACAGTGAGAAATCAAAGACGGAGCACAGCACAGGGCAATTTGGCAACCGTCCTATTAATTGCCACAGAAAAGTTAATATATTTCACAATGGACAACTGACTGTGAACATCTAATTAACTGTTACACAATTATTTAACAACTACCCTCAGAAAAGAATTATTATATTTCATGGACATCAATTGAATGGTCACTGGCATTATACACTTATTTATTTAGAAATGATATACTGTTTAATTTAGAAAGAGCTGAAAATAATGATCATAATTAGAAGAAAATCAGCATATGTAGGTGTCATCAAAGTTCACAGCAACTGTTTCACAAATCACCTTAACACACCGGATTCACAGCTAAGGGTAAGCCTCTCTTTGGTTCATAAGGTGTTGTCCTGGAAACCATTTTGATGCAGTCGATAATAGGGCAGACACTGAGACACAGAGTACAGCCTGTACAAGTGTCAGTAACAGTGGGCAGGTGGGTTTCTGGATCAAATTTTATAGCCTGCAAACAGAAATAAAGGGCATTGATGTCACTGCCCACAAAGGTCAAGACTGTCCCCATTTAAGCATCAACATTTTCTCTACTGCAGTGGAGCTACACTTCCAGACAACTACTCCCAGCACTGTGGTGCAACTATAGCAACAGCTGAACTGCCAGAGTGGAGGGAAAAAATAAAGAGAGAGAGAAAGAAAAGAAATACTTTAAAATTAGAAACAACAATGTTTTAAATCCTTTAGAGGTATTTTTCTTTGTTGTGTGAGGAAAATATTTCATAACATAGTAATTCTCTAGTTTTCTTGGTTCCTAGCACAGCTCTGGTCTTTCCAGACTTACCAGGATGGTTGTTTTCCACCTGAGGATGATGGAGGTGCTATCTTTCACACGTCTGTCCTCCTCCTCCCATTCACATTCCTTGTTCTCAACAGTGGAAAAGTGTCACCAGCAGATGAGGCAACAAATGGATTTACTTGGATTTCAAAAAATGCATGTCGCTTTTAGAAGAAAGCAGTGGAAAACTCACTCAGTTTAAGAGTGAGCTTGGACATGTAAGGATTTTCGTGACAATTTCAGGGACTGTCCATCACACAGCAAGAAAAGCACTGAACCGGGAGCCAAGACACCAAGCTTCCCGGCCCCACCCTGATTTTACTCAGCTGAGAACCAGGGCAAGGCCAATGGCACTGAAGCTACTCAGAATATTATTCTCAAAATTCCAAGGTGGGAGCCAAAACTTCTAAGATTCAAGATATTAGAACCCTGATGATACCATGATTTTAGTTATAGGACTTCTTGACTTGTTCTTGACTGATTAATTTTGGAAAAGATGAAGCTGAAGTGAATGAAATATGATTATCATGTTCAAAAAACTTAGAAATACTTCTCAGTCAGAAAAAAAAATGAATTGGATAGAAAATGGTTTCAAATTAACTCAGGAGCAAGAGTTTTTTTAATTAAAATATGTTTTTAAGATCTCTATTAGATGGTTCTAGAATATTCAGGATCCTGTCGTGAGCAACTTGGGATCTATTGCCAGGTGAAGTAAGGTGAGTAAGTTTCCATTTTTTAGATAGGGCATTTTATTTATTTAGAAAATGCTACTTATTAAAAGGATATTATTTGACTTTACTATACTTCTTTATAGGAGCTCTGCTGGTGTATGCCTAAGGCACTTGACTGCTAACCAGAGGCTGGTGGTTCAAATCCAACCAGCCACTCCTCAGAAGGAAGATTGGGCAATCTACTTCTATAGAGATACTGCTTTGGAAATCCAAGGAGGGGTCACTATGAGTCAGATCTGACTCCATGGCAGTGAGTTTGGTTTTTGGTTTTGCATACTTCTTTGTAGCTTGATGAGCCTAACTAATGAAAATATTTTTCTGTAGTTTTTAACAGTTTTAATGTGACCTTGTATTTTGCTTTCTCCAAATGCCATTATGGTAGGTGGGGTGAGGGGTGGTGGCAGTGGAGAGGAAGCACTTACTTTCACAATAAACCAGGAAAACTTATGTTGAAAGGCATCATTTATGGTAACTATATTATCATGTTTTCATTCATTTCTAAAATTCAACCAGTTTAAGGTCATAGTGATGTCAAAATAATAAAAACAGCAGGTTAAAAATGTACACAAGATAATTGAAGAAGCAAATTAAACGACTATTTAATGCTTCCACAAAGATAAATTCATAGAATGTGTTTTCAAGAGAATAGCCTACTCTGAAGAGAGCCATATCCCTCCTTGGTCCTTCTTGCCCTGTGCAGACTCTCAGCAGCTGAGGGATGAGGAGTTATAGGAAGAATCATGGCTCATTTCAGGGGCAGGAAGACAGTGCTTTGGCTTTTCTTACTACAAAGGCTTTCCTGGGACCAACTTGGACAACAAGTTGGTGGGAAAGTGCTTTCCCTTTTTTTCTGTAGGAAAAGCCCAATAAATATTGAATGGAAAAGATTCTCTTTTGGCAGGAAAAATCACATTCTTGCAGGGTAATGGCAGTAAATTGTGGTTCTTTTTATTTTCTTATTATATTAAAGCATAATACTTTCATTATATTTGTGAAAAAAAAAAAGGAGCCCTGGTAGCCTAATGGTTAAGCTCTTGGCTGCTAACTGAAAGGTTAGCAGTTCAAATCCATGCAGTGGCTCTGTGGGAGAAAGACCTGTGATCTGCTTGTGGTAAAGATTATAGAAAAGACATCTTTATGAGGTAGTTCTACTCTGTCACATGGGGTTGCTATCAGCCGTAAGTTGACAGAACCAACAACAATGTTCGTAATGGTGTGTGTTTGACTTTTTTATGGGTGATGAAATGATATTAACATAATACTACTGCACGTTGAACAGTGGCACAGTTGTGGCTTTCCTCAAAACAAACAAATAAAAAACATACTACGTTATGAAGGTGAGAGGGCAGAAAGACATGCCAGTGCTGAGGAGAAGTTTTTGAAATCTGTTTTAAATCACGCACTTAGCAGAAGAGGATATATTTTGCCACAAAAGCAAGAAACGTGCCTCATGGAGTCTTTGTGCTAATGACAACAGAATTCCTACCTGGTAGCCAGAGTCATTGCAGGTCATGTAGCATTTACCGCAATTGATACACATTTCTTCATCGATCATAGCCACAACTTGCTCTTCAATGCTAAGTTCACCAAATGTTCCAAGGTACTTCAGTGCTTTTCCAATTACATCCTGAAAGGGAGACATTGAATTACTTAGGGTTTCATTTTAAGGCATTTCCAAATAATAATTTATACAGTCCAACTTTCCTTGTTTTTATATAATGTTGCATTATGTTAACCAAGGCAACTTTGAATATTGTAGTTCTCATAGCCATGCTTTTCAATATAATTATAGCTAAATACATGTCTCTTGTAAAAGATGGGCCATAGACATACCTAGCTTAGAAATACAAAACCTAATTAATGGCAATCAATAGATTTTCTACTAGATAATCTAAAAACAGTGTTTCTGTGAAGCACGAGATAGAAATGACACTCTTTTCAGTTGTCATGGCTTTTCCTCAATTTTGGACCTTGAAGAATCCTAAAGTAATGGAAAGGGTACAAAGGGTAATATATTAGATGACTTTACATTGCTAAGAAAGAGGGAGAAAAAGTGTGAATGTTATGTATTTGTCACTGTATTTGGATTCTGGATTTCATTTAGAAATGTAGTTGGGTAGCACCCCACCTGTCATGTCTTAAAGAGAATAATTCAGTATTAAAACATTCTAATTTATGCTAATTAATTAGGCTGATGTAATAGTTAAATAAGATGCTCTTTGACTTTTTAGGAAGTAGGATTTTCTTCATTCATCACTAAAGGTTTTTCATGCGGTTACACATTGCTTTGTTCTTCAATTAACTGGAAATATACTTAATATGTGAAGCAGAGATGATGTTTCATCAACAATAAGAAACACTTTGTTTCATAAAACAAAACAAAGAGTGTAACAATGTTTGTCAAATTAGTATGCTGTCAAGATGTTCTGCTTTTGTTTTCACTTTTAAAAAGAGAATCTTTTGTTTGAATGCAGAGTCCATGTTCAAGGAGGTTTGGCTCTTACCTAATGTTATCTTTCCATTGTCTCTTTGGTATTTTATTTTCTGTTCTTCTTTTTATGACCGTGGCTATCCTTCTTTACTTTATTATTATTATTGTTTCTATTTGAGCCTAAATAACAATGCTTTCATGTCCACAAGCTTTCAAACTGAAAAGTTTACATTATTGTATACAGTGCATTTGTGCATTTCTTGGTGGGTAAGATGATAGAAAACTTCGTACTGCCCTCACTATTTTCTTTCCAATGTGCTAAAGGTATAATTTCATCTGTACTTCAGTCTATTTGAGGTGGGCACTTGATGTCCAAATCAATATCTCCATCCTGAATTGCCCTCACAAACTCAAGATCTACATTTATCAGCTGCATGATGAGCATTGTCACAAGAAATTGGCACCTCACATTCAACACAGACTGAATTTATCATCATTGACACAAAACCGGCTCTTCCTTCTGATTTTATTAGTTTTGTGAACAGTAGTAGGATTTTCTAGTCGCTGAATTTTGAAATTCCACATTTGTGTTTCACTACAACTTTTCTCTGCTCCGACATCTCATCTTTATCAAGTCTTCTGAGTTTAGCATCTATAATCTTTGAATCCATTTTCCAGGTCTATCTTGTTTAACAATTATCAATTTATGTCCCACTATTTTTCATGTAGTTGCATGGGCCTATGTGATGAGTCTTATCCTCATATCATTCTCTCTATCCCAGTCTACCTATTACATGTTATCACCTTAATCTAGGCATAAAGGCACAGGCTAAATTTCCTGTTAACTCGACTCAAAAATCTATTGAATTAAATACAACCTCACTAGGATGGCATTTAAGGTTTCCTACCAAAATGTTTTTGTCAATTTTATTGCTCACTTCCAATCACCTTGTGCTTCAGCTACACTGGACTTATATTCCCACATTGAATACACTTTTTAAATGACTTCCCAGGGGCCTAATTTTGTCTTGTCCTCTGCCTGGAATGCCCTTCCCTCATACCTCCACTTAAAAAACAAACAAACAAAAAAACTTCTACATTCTTCAAAGACATCTTAAATACTCCTCCTTCATGAAGATTTCCTGAATCCTTTCTTTTCTAACCAATGTGAAGAGGTGAACATCCCCCTTTCTCTGTTCCCTTTCCTCTTTCCTTCCCTTGACTGCTCCCCTTTCTCCTCACCCTCTCTATCTCCTCTCCCCAACCTCTGTCTTTCTTTTTTTGATGGCCTATAACATTTTGTTTGTAGCTATTTTGTGAAACTATTGATAATAGATAACTTCTCAGTCCTTATTACGTATCAGGTCACTGCTATTATTTTAAAATATTTTGTCAGTGAAATATTACCCTTGTTTATAGATGATGCTACAAGTGAGACTCCAGGTACAAAATGTAAATGTTTAAGCAGGGAATCTGCTGCAAAAGACCTCTTTAAAGTGTCAAAGAGGAAAGATGTCACTTGGGAAGACTAAGGTGTCCCTGAACCAAACCACTGTCTTTTCAATAGCTTCATATGCATAAGAAAGCTGGACGATGAATAATGAAGACTGCAGAAGATTGATTCATTTGAATTGTCATGTTGGCGAAGAAAACTGAATGTAACATGGACTGCCAAAAAACAAACAAATCTGTCTTGGAAGAAGTACAGCTGGAATGTTGCTTAAAAGAGAGAATAGCTAGCCTTTGTTTCACATACGTTAGTCATGTTGTCATAAGGGACCAGTCACTGGAGAAGGATAGATACCATGCTTGGTAAAGTAGATGGTTAGCAAAACAGAGGAAGACCCTCAAAGAGATAGCTCGACACAGTGGCTGCAAAAATAGGCTCAAGCATGGCAACGACTGTGAGGATGGCACAGGATCAGCCGATGTTTTGTTCTGCTGTAGCTAAGGTCACTATGAATCGGAACCGACTAGATGGCACCTAACAACAACAACAAAACAGAGATTCAGACCACTGCGGCTTGACTTCAAATACCACGATCAAAAGCACTCTACTATGCTGACTCATGTGTTATCTATTTAGTAAAGTCTACTTCATGTCCAGGAGCTCTGGTGGTGTAGTGCCTAAGGCAATCTCACTGCTAACCAGAAGGCTGGCGGTTCAAACCCACCAGCCCACTTTCGGAAGGAAGGTTGGGCAATCTACTTCCGTAATGATACCGCCTTGGAAACCCAAGGAGGGGTCGCTATGAGTTGGGTCCGACTCAATGGCACATAACAACAACAACTATTAATGTGAGATTCAGAAATGGATTTGAGCACTTTTTCAAATGTAAAATAGTGACAATCAAAATACTTGAATGTGTTTGGTAGTTTCTAATAATATTTTAACACATCAAATACATGAGATTGCTATCTGTCTATAAAAGGCTATTTATAAGTGATAGAAAACAATTTGTTCGCTCTAGTAAATAAATCAGTCAAAACAGTTGTTGCACTGAATCAAATCACACAGTGACTGAAATCATCAGTCAATATTCAAAAGATGATTAAACAAGAAGATCCCTATCCAGTCACCAATATTGCAAGACTTATTTCAAAAGAAGCAATGCATATTTCTAAGAAATTTTATTGTATGAAGCAAATCCACATTCTGAATATATTAAAGATGTCTTTTGCTCTGTGTTATAGATTGGTTTTGCCTTTTATTAAAACATCACAATTTAACGTGAAACTAAATAAAACAAGGTTCTTAGAGTCTTCAGAAGTTATTAGGACATGGTATTAAAATGTCTCCCCCTCATCAATACAGTTCTTTTGAACAATTGATTATTTTAATCTGGAAAAGGATAAAAGAATGACAACTCTTTTAAAATTATTTTGGAAAAGAATATCAGAAAAAAAGAATGATCATGCTATGTGATTGAAAATGTGGAAATTTGTTAAAAACCGAAAGCCTCTAGGTAGTACTGGAAGCTTATGAAGACCCTTGAGAACACATTTTGGAACTTGGAATTAGCTGAAAGATGCATATAATCAGTAAAACGCATATGGCTAGTTTAGTCCCTCTTGGACATACATCTGTGGAGATTAAGGGAACCTACATTCATTATTCCAAGCAGGGTGTCAATATACAGAGGTCAAAACATCTGCTGTAGCCATCCTGATTAAGGGAAATGCTTATGTGTGACCATGTGTGGAGAAAGCTTTGCTGAATTCTTTGAATTATAGATGATACATTTGATTTAAATAAAAGTCTTTACTAAATTAATGTACAGGGGAACAAAATTCTGAATCTTATCCTTGTCACTAGATTACACATTTGGGACTATCAAAAATACTTTTTGAAGAGAGACCTGTCAATATTTCTGGCTGATATAAAAAGTTTAGGGCCAAAGAGTTAGGAAATAGAAGATACCAATCCTATCACTGATGCATCATACTCAATTTATTTTGCTGACTAGGAATTTTGTTAGTTTGGAGCCTTTTTTAAAAAATAGCTAATGGATATATTTTCAAGTTGTAATTGTTATCTAGCATACTAACTTCCTCTTTTCAGCTGCAAGCCTTCTGTACATGTGATTAGTATACTTTGTACAATTCCTGTAAATAGTGCTGTTCAATGTCCAGGACCAAGGACAACAGTGGGAAATGTCTAAATATTTAAATCTTTAAATTACTACTATAGCTGTTCAATCTCCTTATTAGTACCATTATCAGTATTACATGTTCTTCTCTTATTACATTATATCCACTACTTTCCCTATCAAAATGGGAAATGAGATTATTGGTTTGTTCTCATTGGATTTACGTTGACTTTTAATAACTTTGTCCTTCATTCTGTTTTCCTTAGTCAAAAGTTTAATGATCTCTATAGAACTGCTGGTAGCATAGTGCCTAAGGCACTTGACTGCTAACCAGAAGGCTGGCGGTTCAAACCCACCAGCCTCTCCTCGGAAGGAAGATGGGGCAATCTACTTCCATAGTGATACTGCCTCGGCAACCCAAGGAGGGGTCGCTATGAGTCGGGGCTGACTCAACGGCACATAACAACAACAACAACATCAAACTGCAAAGGGTTTAGGTCTCCATCTTTCTGATCTATTTCTATTTTTATCTCCTCCCTTTGTCACGTCCACCATTTCCTTTTCTAAAGAACCAGGGGCTACATTCATGTTTTTAATATGTGGTAA